AGATGAACCAGGAATGAGGAGGAAACTGAGGGTTCAAAGTGTTCTACTGGAGATGTTAGCATTGGGGTCAACATAGCCACTGGCGCACTCCAGGTACTGTTGGAATACAGCTTGAATCATCCCTGACCACTGGCTATGTTGGCTGGGGCTGAAGGGAGCTGGGGTCCAACTTCTGCAGGGCACTTTGTTGGTTATCCCTGTGCTAGTAAATACACATTCACTTCATTTTTTTTTTTTAAAAAAGAGGCAGTGTAATGTGGCCATAACTGGGTGTGTGTGTGTGTTAAACCCACTAGAGAACTTATTGTGAAGTTGTTCAGAAGCACTTGTCCTGGGGAATTAGCATCGCGCTCGGAAATATTTGAGAGCAGCATTTAACATCCTAACTCTGTCTGAACTGCATTATTGAAATGCATATCTGATTTTAAAACGACACTCTTCTGCTCTTCCTTTCTCTGGTAAGTGGTTCACTGGGGAATAAAGGGCATTGTTAGCATCGTTAGCCAAAATAGGGTAGGTGTACTCTCAAGTCAAGCTTTGTAGGACAAATTCTTGGAATGACTTTTTTTTAGGATAGAAAGGATTAAAAAAATCAAATCTCCAAAAATAGCAAGGGGTTGGCTTGTAGGAATCATTTGGTCCACCTCTCCAGCACGTGCAGCTGTCCTGCTTTGTTCTACTGATTTAGAGAACAGAAACTTTCCAAAAGGCATCTGCACTGCAAGGTGAAAGTTAAAAGGGAAATAGGATTCTTGAAAAAAGGCACTGAAGTGCAGCCAAAGCCAGAGCCCCAGCATCAGCCACGAACAGCATGCTGTTATTAGAATTCTGATAATGAATGCAGAAGAGTGGGGGGAGGGGGGAAGCAAACCTGGAAACCCGCAAGTTAAAGATCTCAGCTTTATATGCAGTTGGAAGAGTTAAATGCTCGTGCTTTAAACTTGCCCATGCATAGCTGCTGTTAAGTCCTGCCTTGTGAGAAGAGAGATGGCGGGAGGTCGCTATAGTTTTGCATGCAGACAAACTCCTTCCCCCGCCTCCAGTACTTTCGGATACACTCCAAAAAATTCATGGAGTGATCAAGCACCTCCCTCATATCGAAAAGCAGCCTGTGTCCTCAAATGAGACTTTGGGTATTGGGCCTTCCGCTAGTGTTTTAATTTGAAATTTTTATTTTTGGAGGCAATCCATCTGGTTTGACAGGTTACCCATCATGCCCATCATGCATTTCTCACCATCCACAGACATGCTCACTTTCATTTGGACATTGTTCAGAACAAAATGGCCAAGACACAAGAAATATCTGGTCAACTTCATACACACGCTGGCAATGCAAGCTTGGAAGGAAACCACAAAGAAGCTTCAATGGGGGAAGGGCAACCTTGACAAAGAAGGGACGCCAAACGAACCAGGATCTTTTATTATTACTTTAAGGCAGAAAGCATATCATAGGTCAATTTGCCTGACATGCCTAGTAATTTATTTGTTCAACAACTTTCTCATCTCCAGCTTGGAAGTTATGGGGCGCTTGCAGTCAATATGCTGACCATTTTCAATGCACAAAGCATTTCTGGCTAAATATCTGATCTGTTCCCCAGTTTACTTTGGGCTATATTAAGGCTAACGTTGACTTGATATGTGGGTCTTGTATACCTCTAAAATGTGTGCATGTATGTGTGTGTTCTTGCATCATTAATAGTCCACTTTCCAAAATATTTTCCAACTATCTTTCTAATGAGTATCAGCTATCTAATGGGCCGAACAGTGTTCAAGTGTACATATTAGTAATTTCACTGAAATTATTTAGTGAAATTAACTTATGCAACCTGAGGTGACTTCAAGTGCAATGACCTCAAAATATTAGTTTTATTTATTTTAAAGGTTAGGGATACCCATACAACATTCATGCCTCTGTTTCCTTAAAACAAAAGCTACAGTTTCCTCTTTGGGCAGCAACAACTGAACATCTAATTCATTGTTTTGTTTTGTTTTGTCCCAGCTTTTACTTTTGTAAAACTCTTGTTCTGGAATTCTTTCCCCATTACCATAATGTGTTCTTTACAAGTTTTCAGATGCTTCTGTCATTAATGGTGGTCTCAATGGAACCACACAACCAACAGGACCTCAGTAAGTCTTAAATATATTTTTGTTTACACAGTGCTAGCAATCGTGGCAAGTGGATACAAGGTGCTTCATAATGGTTCATCTATGTTGGTACTGTCAATCCTAATGAGTCTTGAGTACAACTGAGACCCTTGGTTCATTTAGGCTGTTACTCTCCACCCTCAAATCCAATCTAGCTTGTGGCTTCTGTGACTGAAATGTTGCTGACATAAGAGTGGACAATGGGATGGGGGCAGATTAGCCAATTCTCCAGACTTCATCATTTATTTCAGTAGCAAGTGAGTCAGGACTAATGCTCAATTATAAACCCATCACTAATAATTGTTTATTAGCAGAAGGTAGCTTTAGCTGCTACTATGGGCCTGAAGCAGCAGACATAGAGCTTTAACACTTCAGTGACAGTCAAAAGGTTTCAGTTAAAATGTCTACTCGTTGAGCCAAAATTCCTAATAGTATGATAATTAGAAATGTAGAGGCAAACAGAATCAAGCTAATTCCAGTGGGATTTTATCAATTTACAGTGGGCTCTCCAGTCTGCAAATCAACTGCTGAGTATGAAAATACAACATGCAGACTCTCTTAGGCCAAATAGACATCCAAGATGTGTATTTGTCTAATACGCTTTGTCATCTCTTCCTTCAGCATTTGCCGAAAACTGAGGATTTGAGAAGGCTGACTTTGGAATTTCGAAGACTTCCTTTCCACACATGTAGAATACAGAGAAACAGGACAGCAGGACTATGTGCAGGAATGTTTCACGTCCATGCTTCTAACGCCTTTGGTGCATGCACTGTGCCCCAACTGCACGTGACTGGGGACTTCCAACACGGTGGCAGCCATGTCTGATAACAGTGGCTGCTATCCTGAAAAATGTTCAGGCAGGCAGATACCAGTTCCATGTCTCTGCAATGACAGGCCCTCAACAAATTATGTCCATCTCTATTAGGAGCATGCAGAGTGAAGACACTGGGCATGCTCAAGTAATTCCCAAATGGCAACTGCAAAGGAAGACCTGGCACCCTACACAACAAGGAAATCTGTTTTACATTAAACTAAGGTAAAGGTAAAGGGATAAAGGGACCCCTGACCATTAGGTCCAGTCATGGCCGACTCTGGGGTTGCAGCGCTCATCTCGCTTTATTGGCCGAGGGAGCCGGCGTACAGCTTCCGGGTCATGTGGCCAGCATGACTAAGTCGCTTCTGGCAGCGCACAGAAACGCCGTTTACCTTCCCACCGCAGCGGTACCTATTTATCTACTTGCACTTCGACGTGCTTTTGAACTGCTAGGTTGGCAGGAGCAGGGACTGAGTAACGGGAGCTCACCCCGTCGTGGGGATTTGACCTGCCGACCTTCTGATTGGCAAGTCCTAGGCTCTGTGGTTTAACCCACAGCGCCACCAGCATCCCACATTAAACTAATATTGTTATTTATTAGATTTCTATACCACCTTTCATCCAAAGGTCACAGGGCAGTTCATAATATAAAAACACAATGATAAATACCGTAATAACAAGCAAGAACAATTACCCTCCCCATTTAAAAGGCCATAGATTGTTTAATTAGCCAAAGGCCTGGGAGAAGAGGAATGCTTTCGCCTGGCACCTAAAGAAACGTAATGAAGGTGCTAGGCGAGCCTCCTTGGGGAGGGCATTCCAATGTTATAGTGTCATGAAGAATTTGACCTAGTAGACCCCTTGTGAACCTTTGGTTTATGTATGAATTGGATAGCAGATTACGAATTGCACAATAGCCATAATGTGATGTTTGGTACAGAAGTCTCCCTCAAGGCTGATAAAATAGATTGGGAGTGAGTGAACTTTAAAAGGATATTGGGTGACAAAGGCCGGGGAAGACCCCAGTCTCAAACTCAGAGCTGCTCACAAGCAAAGCCAATGTACGGCCTTCTGTAAGTTACTGAACTCCCACTCCCGCCAGCCCCCGCCAGCCAAGCAAATGGCCAGGGTTGATGGGAACTGTAGTCCAACAACATCTAGAGGACACCATGTTGGCTCTTTCACTCAGGGCAATCATTCCAATAAGTTTCACCAAGTCTTGTGCTTCTTAAGAAAAAGACACGGTGCACTTTTAGCAATAAGGTTATGGATTAAAATTTAGTCAGGTAACTGGAATTTGTATATTAAAGTTATTTTATCAACCTAGTTGCTAGTCTGTGATACTGGACCCTACTTTAAAATCTGGGGGACGTGAAAGCTGTCAAGCTGTTTGAAGGAAGAGACGCAAAACAGGTGAGTGGGGTGAGTTTGCTCGTCTGTTCTGACCATGGCCAGGGAGAGCCCGTTGCAGTGGAGCATGTGTTTGGAAGCTTGCTAATGAAAGGCTTCCTGATGACCTATGACACGACAGGTTACTTCGTGGAACTGCCTCAGCATACTAAATGTCTTATGCCTCTCTTGCATACCTGAGAGATTCCCTGGGAATGGCAGGCATTACAATTAAAACAACATTTGGGCCACAATTTCCAAAGCCAGATTCCTCTGGAATGTTTCGTTCCGACTGTCGGAAATACTGGTTGCTGAAATGCAGCCATTCCTCTTGTTCTGCTCTGATATGCCTGCTGTTTTTGCTGGGTTTGGGGAATAGCTGGATGCCCAGGCCTGCAACAATTGAATGCTAAATTCGCAGCAGAAATGACAAGGCTAGACATCCCTTCGAGTCTTAAAAATCATGGCATATTTATGAGATCAGTCCACTTGAAGCATTAGTCCTCCAACCCCCTAAAAAAAAAAAAACTTTATCTCTGGCTCCCTCATTTCTCTGCCCGCCCCCTCCGCCCCCTGCCTTTCCTCCCAGGCTTGCCTTGCCACTCAGCACAGCGCTGCTGAGAGAAAAGATAAACAGGAATGCAATACCAACCGTGAACTGCCGGTTCTGTCGTCGCCGTTGTGTCTACACACGGGAACAGAGGTTTGGAGGAAGGGAAGAAACAGGAGGAACAGCATGCAAAAAAAGGGAAATGGAAAAAATGGAACAGATAATATATGAGCAAGCTTTCAAAGAACATTGCGTGACAAGCAATAATAAAATGAAAGGCAAAAAGCATTTGAAGTGAGTTGCACTGTTTTAAAGAGACATGCCTTGAGCTTAAAAGCTGTGAGCCTGAGGGTGGGGTGGGGTGGGGAACCCTTGTTTGCTTTGGTTCTGGAGATTTGCCAGCAGGGATGCTTTCTGGTGGTCAAGAGTTAGGGAGACATGCAAAGTGGGGAGAAACACCAGAGCCACCTGCTCCGTGGGGAAGTGAGAACAGGGCATCAAAGGGCTCCAGGCTATGAAAGCAGAGGCAAGTCTTGAAGAAGCTTTCATACATTCAAACATTGCCTTTGCAAAAGACATTCCCTTCTATGTGGGAATGCCAGAGGAGTCAGTGCATTACCTGGCTGCCGGGGTCTCCTTTCCCTTTTGTCATGCACAAAATACCTGTGGATGCTATGCAACATTCTGCATCCACCTGATCCCGGGGAATACCAATGATAGGAAGTCTCCCAAGAATGAATGCATACAACGCCATTGCATTCACGCTGCAAAACAGGTCATCATTGAGGAGGTAGCCTTGCCTCTAGCAAGTCATGCATAGTTTAGATAAAGAGATACATATATAAAGACGACAGAACAGATTCCATCTTTGCAAACTGAAGAAAAGCTTTCTGCAAAGATCACAATCTCTAGAGAGTGCTCTGTGGACCAGATACTGAGAAGAACTGTGAATGTTTCCACAAGTTTCCTGTTGCTTGGGATGTAACTAGAGAAATGAAAGGGCACCCCAGTTCTAGCAGACTGTGCCGTTCTTGGTTCATTTTAATAGCACGTAGAATACAAGCATGACAGACTCCAGTGCTTGTGGAACTAAGTGGGTTGTCAAACGTACTCCTACCTTAGGGCTGTGAATGCACCAAAGAGAGGAACATTCCTAGATGGGACGTCCTCTGGCAGCCTTGCCCTCTGAAGCTTTACTGAGGGAGCCCAGTCCCGGTCTCAGGTGTCTCTTTGGGTGTAGAGGATGCTATGTATTCTCCATGTACCTCGCTGGAAAAGGTCTTCCCTACCTTCCTAAGTCTTGGGTTTCTGGACCTTCTGAAGCATCCCCAAAGGGTGTAAAGAGTTCTTATTCAAAGACTATTTGTATATGTCAAAACATACGTTAGACATATTGCTTTTGCCTAGTTTTGCCCACAGTTCAGCCATGACAACAAAAATTATCACATAAATCAGCTAAGCCTTCACTTGTTCAGCAACATTAGAATCCTAGGGTGGGCAGGAGTAGAGAACATTTCTTTTTTTGGGGGTTGGGGGACTAAGGTTGCCTTCCTCCATGGGTAAACCAGCACCCATGAGTGAACCAACCCCCTATTCTCTCTCTGGTGGGCTGGGGCTTGCCTTCAACAGGGAAAGACCCTGGAAGGAAAGTTAATTCACTGGAAGAAAGATGCTTGAAGTTGTTTCAGGCAAAGGCGTTCAACTTCTTTTCTACTCTCCCAACTTCCATCACTGTGCAGAAAATATGGTTATGCACACAGCTAGCAAGGAAACGAAGTGGGCTGCCAGAGGATGGACAGATCGCTCAGTCCCTCTCCAAGCAGCTTGCTTGGCTTCCATGATGAGCAGGATGAAGAATGTTATGCCACGCTTGCCATAGGATCAGTGCTGGACATGCAGCCCCTTCGCTAAAGGTCAGAAGAGTGGGCAGGGGGCTGTGGAGGAAAGACTTGTGGGCAAGATCCAGCTTGTGAGCTAGCGCTTTGCCATCTGTGCTGGAGGAGTTGGACATAAAGAGTCCTGTCCCCCTTTCCATTTCAGCAACAAACTGATATACCTTTAGCTGCACACATGTGGGTTGGGGCCATAGGATTGGTGAGGCGGCTGTTCTGGGAGCAGCTCGAAAAGTGCTAAGTGTTCAGAGTTTCTGCAGCGCAGCACAAACAAGGCCATTTACCTCAAAAGAAGGTTTGGGAGGTTCCTCTTTAGTTCAGCACAGGCAATGTTTAAATGAACAAAAGAATAGCTTTCTGCAAGGCTCCACAACATGTAATTGAGCTCATAAACTACCCTCGAACTTGGGCTTTTCTATTATTACAGAAGACAAGCCCATGGAGGTGTTTCTCCACAGTTGACATGCCACTTTCAGAATCCAGAGAGGGCCAGACTTTCCACTTAATAGAAAGCAGGGGCCATTTCCCCTTTGCAATCAAACAGAGGACAATGCATACTTAACTTTCCAGAGCAAGGGTTAGACAATAATAATAATAATAATAATAATAATAATAATAATAATAATAATACAGGTACATAATCCACATGGGGGGGAAATACATGATACTTACAGGCTGGCACATTTTAAAATATTGAAGGAAAAGCAACACCCCCTTGCACAATTGAAATAGGTGTTTTATCAAGATTTATATGACAGCAATTCACCTATGGCACATCTTATCCTCCATTCTAACACAGATAGTTTTCCACTTTGCAATCCAATCTAACACACAGTTCAGGACCACCAAGCTCCTGTTCTCACATTGGGAGCTTTGGCAAAATTAAAGCATCAAAAATGCTTGACAGGTAATGAAACAGAAGTTTGAGGCCTGCCCCTTTCATCCTCAATTGCATAGCCTACAATGTCTCATTTTAACTGGTGGGGGATTCAAAGGTGTAAAGGAAAGGTCAGAGGGGATGCTAGGATTAAATTGGATGAGCTGTGTGTTAACACCTGAAATTTCATGCTCTCCCCAGAATAATCGACTAACCTCTTTCCTCTGTGTGTCTGTTTATGTATGGGGGAAATTATGTGAACTCTTCCGGTTCAAAATTAAACCGTGCTGAAACCAGAACTTCTGCTCATATGCTGGAAAAAGATTATTAGTCAAGGAACAGTGTTCTGTGTGGACAGTGCAGCTCGCTTTTCCCATCCAGGGACAGAGATCAGCAGGTAACAAACAAACAAAAATGAAACACAAAGTTCTCAAGCAGTTAAAAGGCGAACAAATATTCAAAGTCAAACAACATCATGTTGGCTGCAGCTGGAATGGCAAAGTTATGATTAGCAGATGGGCTGGGTGATCACAGCGGGAAATAAAGCAGTTAATGATTAAAAGGTGCACTGCCTCGAAGTCCAACTCAGTCTAGGCCATCTTCCCAAATGAGCTCCTGGTTTAGCAATGGCATTCATGCTGATATATATATATATATATATATTCTTAAGGCACTTTACAGTGATGTCCAGGAACAAATGGCTTCATTTTCAAAAGCAGAAAGTAACACATAGAAGAAGAAGAATGGTTCCCCCCACCCCACCCCACCCCACTTTGAAAGGAGGAGGAATTACCACCTGATTTGTCTCCTTGGGGTAAAAACACTAAGGAACAGATCAAAAATAATCTGCCAGAAATTCTGTAGGTCCCACAAGTGACAGAGGGGACAAAAGGAGTCTATTTGCTAACAATACTATGGCATATCCCGTCCACAAAGCCACTAGTTCATGTAAAAACAACAACACAAGAGTGAATCAATTGTCTGTCCGGTCTTAAAGAGCAGTGACAAACTTAAAATTTGCTGAGGATGTGGAGTAAAAATAATAATAGAAGCATGTCCCCCATTTCTCAGCATCTCCCTTCTTTCCCTCCCACCACCCCATCTATGTGTGTACCAACTATGTGTTTGCTTTTCAAATACAATCCAAACATTGTAACTGGGGAAAGAGTGGCCCAGCTGCAGGAAAACTGCATTCTAAGTATCAAGTTGCTTTTTATCTCAAGTGTTAGAAACTCTTTATAATAAAAATAAACATAACCAGATACCAAAGACATTAAATATTTTGTCATGGATGATGTTATCTTACAAAGTGGGGTGGAGGTGGCATTGTCTATCCCTTTGGATATCAGTCATTTAACATGGCCAATGTAAAAGAACTACCCACCCCCCTAACAAGCCAGCCTCTGAGACAGCTGGGCAATATTAAGTTGAAACAGTGGCATTCAAACTCCTTGGTGGCACATTCTAATCCATTCAGATGGCTTCTCTCCAACTTAAAATTGTTCACTGAGTGTGACAGACTGGGGGGTTTAAAAACTAATCCATAAAATTAGTCCGCAGTCTCTAACAGAATGGGTTCCATAAATGAAAATCCAAGGACAGTTGTTTTTTTAAAAGTCCTAAATCTGTTGCCAGCCTATAGAATCTAGGCAACTTAACTGCTCCTGCTTTGAGAAACTATGCTTTCCCCCAGAGTAGTAACTGTTTGTATAATTATCACCTACCTGAGATGCCATGCTGCAATCAAAGCATGCTATTAAGACATAATCTTGCATTTATTTGTTTTTTAAAAGAAGAAAAAGCGGGTAATTTGACATAGAATTTGCCCACAGAGTTGAAAGAGCTGCCATTCTGGGTCAAGATTATTGAGCTCAAGCACCCTATGGCTGGACAGGCATTTGCCCCTGGGATGCTTAGAAGAATGCATGATGGAAACAGATCTATAGGTGACTGTAAAAAGCAGGACACAGTCAAAATCTTCCATTTATTCCCACCTGCCTCAGCTCCTTCGATCTGTATTATGCTTCAGTTAAACTAGACAACTGCAGGATTTGCAGGGCAGAAAGAACACAGAAGCAGGGATGTAACAGGCCTAGACAGAGCGAGTGGAACCACCCTGAAAGGAAGGGGGCAGGAGGTGCCCTGTCTCACGCTGCTGCCGGAAGAAGAGCACACTATGCAAAACAGCACTTCCAAGCGAGAGCGTCGGAAGCGGCGCTTTGTACAGCGTCCTGCTTGTACTACACCCACGAGATAGCTTCATTTGCGGACCAGATGTTTCACAAAAATAATCAGGATCCGTTTAGTAGTTTTGTGTAGCATAGAAAATGATTTTTTGAAGCATGGAACTGCATATTGGGCAGAGA